AGTATGGGGTCAAAGTGAAGGATTCTTTTTATTTTATTGTTTGGTTTTGAATTTTTTTTTTTTTTTAAGACTAGTTAAGTGAAGCAGTGGGAGTGGAGAAGAACAAAGAAATCTGTAACTGGCTGTGATCAATTAGTTGTAAACACCACCGCACTCAGACCAGCCAAAGTGAAGGATTCTTTTGATAATGATAGAATATGTGTTTGATCATTTGAGTTTAAAGACTATGGAAAGCAGCTGATAAGATATACTCACGAAAGTGCTTTGACATTCCACTAAGGCTATTCTCTTTTAAGCACATTTTCCTATGAAGTGTTTGCAGTTGCAGTTGCCTACACCATGTCAATGCCTGCCGTTTTTCCTGTTGTGAAGTTTTTCCTTTACATATACAGATTCATGAAAGAGTTTATGCTATAGATTATCTGAAACCAAACAGGACACATTTTCATACACTTTAATACCATTTGAACACCCTGGGTGTCAGTTGTTGCTGGGACCTGTTTTTGACTCTGTTGAACCTTTACTGGTTGTGGTTTGTCTGGCCATCACATGACTTCTCTGAAAATTCCCCCTCCTCTTCATTTCCAGTAAACTGTTTGAGCAGGAGTGAGTCAGAGTGAAACCAGCTTCCCTGTAACCACAGGGCTTGTTAAAGAATTTGTCAACGTGGACTCTAGAGGGTTTGCATTAAGCTTTGCAGTAACTGTTATGGTTTGTGTTGCGTCAGGAGTTCCACAGAAAAGCTTCCTGCTTGCAGGATCTCTTGCTTGTTTGCAAAGAGTTAAACTGATAAACTTTACCATAGTGAACATGAGAGACGCATGTTAAACACATTTCTTTATCATTAAAGGCGTTGTCAAAGCTACCAGGAATTACTGTAGTTTCTCCTTTCAGAATCAACCAACCACACCCAATAACGTTTAGTTTTTGAAAAGGCGGGCCTGGTAGATAGTCTTTCACAGTTGGCTAGTCATTTTATCACAAGGCACCATCAAAATTAAGCAGTTTTAAGTGGCCTTGATCAATTCTGTTACAGGATATTTCGACAATTTGCACAGTTAGTTAGGTTTGGGGACTAAAGGTCACTTACTTGCAGTTCGTTCATCAAGAAAAGGTAGCACTTAGACTAATATAGTTGTGATGTCTAAGCACACTTAACTTGATTTATAGTGGAATTCTTCATGCCCCCTTTTATTTGCTTTCTCGGGAAGCATTTTATTTTGAACTCTTTTGCCACCTCACTGGCAGACTTTAAACTCTCTCCCTTTCAGTTTCTTCTGTTTCTTTAACTTACTCCCAATTATCAACAATCAAATACGAAATTCTCTAATTATCAAATAGGAAAGATAGTTGCAATGTGTTGCAAGCTGGTAAATGAATGGCCAGCGAGAAACTTGTCTTCTCACCTTACATTCCGGAGTTCATTTCTTTTTACATGTGCATTTCTGTATTTATCCTTGTTACCTTTAGCTAGACTTACTCATTTGAAAAATAAATTTGGCCGGGAGTGGTGGCTCAGGCCCTTAATCCTAGTACTTTGGGAGGCTGAGGCAGGCAGATCACGAGGTCTGGAGATTGAGAGCATTCTGGCCAACATGGTGAAACTCCGTCTCTACCAAAATACAAAAAAATTAGCTGGGCATGGTGATGTGTCCCTATCGTCCCAGCTACTTGGGAGGCTGAGGCAGGAGAATTGCCTGAACCCAGGAGGCGGAGATTGCAGTGAGCCGAGATTCTGCCACTGCACTCCAGCCTGGTGACAGAGTGAAACTTCGTCTCAAAAATACATAAAAAATAAAATAAATTTAGTGAAAACTTTTAAACCCAACCTCCTAAAAATTACTTTTATTCTGCTTACACTTTCGTAGCAAAATAGGAAAAACATTCTAGAAGATGTTGAAGCTAGTTATTCCTCACAGGAAAAAATATAGAATAATGAAGTTTAAAATTGTATATGTTCTAGCCATGCTGTCTACCTCTCAGTCATCAAACTAAAATAAAAAAAAAAATTGTTTTGATGACAAAGCAATTCTCAATGAAACCAGATGATTTTCAAATGAAAATAAGAGGTTAATACAGCCTAATTATTAGCAAGGACAGAATAAATATTTAAGGTTTTTCTTCTTTGGTTGCTTTGCACATTGGAGTAGAAAATTGTTTTGGGCCAGGCTCAGTGGCACACACCTATAATCCCAACACTTTGGGAGGCTGAGGCGGGTGGAACACAAGGTCAGGAGTTCGAGACCAGCCTGGCCAATCTGGTGAAACCCTGTCTCTATTAAAAATACAAAAATTATCAGGCATTTGCTTGAGGTTACATTGAGCCATGCTCACGCCACTGCACTCCAGCCTGGGAGACAGAGCGAGACTCCATCTCAAAAAAAAAAAAAAAAGACATAAATAGTGGGCATAGTGGCTCACACATGTAATCCCAGCACTTTGGGAGGCCAAAGTGGGCAGAACACCTGAGGTCAAGAGTTCCAGACCAGCCTGGTCAATATGTCAAAACTGCAATTCTACTAAAACTACAAAAAAATTAGCTGGGTGTGCTGGGGAGTGCCTGTAGTCCAGGCTACTTGGGAGGCTGAGGCTCAGGTAGGAGAATCACTTGAACCCAGAGACAGAGTTGAAGTGAGCTGAGATCACACCACTGCACTCCAGCCTGGGCAACAGAGCAAGACTGCAAAAGAAAGAAAGAAAGAAAGAAGAAGGAAGGGAGGGAGGGAGGGAGAAAGCAAGCAAGGAAACAAGCTAGCTTCGTGTTATGTCTGCTTTGTTCTTTTCACTTTCACACCTGTTTGCAGATATCGGGGAGAAAAGCACTGGGTAAGCATTAGGTTACCTTTGTTAGACTAAAGTTTTTTGGGTTTTTTTTTTCAGGTTTGTGTTTAAAACACCTTTTGTAAAATGCCTTTAGAAAGGTCCCTTTTGGCCAGCCTCAGTGGCTCACACCTGTAATCCAAGCACTTTGGGAGGCTGAGGCTGGCCGATCACAAGGTCAGGAGTTCGAGATCAGCTTGGCCAATATGGTGAAACCCTGTCTCTCTAAAAATACAAAAATTCACCGGGCGTGGTGGCATGTGCCCGTAGTCCCATTTACTTGGGAAGCTGAGGCAGAAGAATCGCTTGAACCTGGGAGACGGAGGTTGCAGTGAGCTGAGATGGTGCCAGCCTGAGCAACAAAGTGAGATTACATCTCAAAAAAAAAAAAGGCCCCTTTTATTGAAACTTGGACCAACAGATTACTTATACTTCTTTATTTTTGCTTATGAGCTTGTAAATCAGTAACATGCTAAATACAAACCCACCCTGTTACAACTGCTGACTGCTTTAATGGGTACTGGCCCACAGAGTTTAAAGGAAGACTTGGACAGCAGAATAGCTATTATGCTCATGTCCTATTGCAAAGATGCCTTTCTTTCTAATTAGCCAAAATGTTTGGTTTGTCATGATCAGTCTGCAGTTCTTTTCTTCTTTTTTGTTTTTTCGTGGTTTTTATTGTTTTTTGTTTTTTGAAATGGAGTCTCCTTCTGTCACCCAGGCTGTAGTGTAATGGTGCGATCTCAGCTTACTGCAGCCTGCACCTCCCAGGTTCAAGCAATTCTGCCTCAGCCTCCCAAATAGCTGGGACTACAGGCACAAGCCACCATGTCCAACAAATTTTTGTGTGTTTTTAGTAGAGAAGGGGTTTCACCATATTTGCCAGGCTAATCTGGATCTCTTGACCTTAGGTGACCTGCCTGCCTCAGCACTCCCAAAGTGCTGGGATTACAGGTGTGAACCACCGTGCCCCGCCCCAATCTGCAGTTCTTTCTTGTTTAGTATTTAAGGAGATTTCCTTCAATAGAGTCTCCTTCCCATTTTGGCTATCTTGGGTGTTACAACTTCAAAATAACTGTCAGACTATCATGCTTTTAAACTAAGGCCCTATGAAGAGATCTAAGGAAATGGGCATGATAATTCATTCAGTGCTCCCCTCAAAAGTAGGGATATAATTTAGACTTCTTTTTTTTTTTTTTTTTTTTTTTTGAGACAGAGTCTCACTCTGTTGCCCAGCCTGGAGTGCAATGGCAGGATTGCAGCTCACCACAACCTCTGCCTCCCAAGTTCAGGCGATTCTCCTGCCTCACCCTTCCGAGTAGCTGGGACTACAGGCGTGCACCACCATGCCCAGCTAACTTTTGTATTAGTAGAAATAGGGTTTCACTATGTTGGCCAGACTGATCTCGAACCCCTGACCTCGTGATCCACCCATCTCAGCCTCCAATCATGCTGGGATTACAGCCCTGAGCCATTGCACCTGGCCTATACGTTAGACTTCTTTGCCCCATTCCCTGACATAGGTTTGCATCTATGAACTTAATCTAAATTTCTAAAAATTTGTATTTTTACTACTTGTAGTAAAACTCAGTAAGTTTATAGCTTATTATGTACAGCAGTGCTTCCATTTTGTTTTAAATTTACCTCTAAGTTATTAAGTTTGGCCGGGCATGGTGGCTCACGCCTCTAATCCCAGTACTTTGGGAGGCTGAGGTGGGCAGATCACTTGAGGTCAGGAGTTCGAGACCAGCCTGACCAACATGGTGAAACTAAAAATGCAAAAATTAGCCAGGCAGTAGTGGCATGTGCCTGTAATCCCTGCTGCTCGGAGGCTGAGGCAGAAGAATCGCTTGAACCCAGGCGGCAGAGGTTGCAGTGAGCCAAGGTCACGCCACTACACCCCCGCCTGGGCGAGATAACAGGGCCCTGTCTCAAAAAAAAAAAAAAAAAAAAAAAAATCCCTATTTTAGCCACAAACTAGTATAATTTACATGTACTCAATTTTTGCACCAATCTCTCCATAGATCTCACAGAATGCCTCGTTTATATCTTCAGCTTCCAAATTCACATAAAATCAAACGAGTTGTTTCTCATGAGATTATTACGAGCATTAATGAATTACAGTAAGTAAACAGTGGATAAGCCCATCAAGAGTGGACTTCAACTGTTTTGTGGGGGTAGGGAATGGAAGTATCAGAAATCTACACAGGAAAAAACAGTATTAGAAAAAACACGACACTTAACTTTTCCTCTAGGGAGAGGATTTGAACATCTAGAAAATATTCCTTTTTTCTCTTATTTTTTGTTGAAGTCTTGGTTCGGGCCAAAACCTACATTTAAAAAAAAGGAGACCCTCGTTATTAAAACAGCTGACCTAGTAAGAAACAGTGGCAACATTTCGTACACATGCAGCAGGTAATCCTGAAGGTCTACAACCAGGGGATTTCAGGTATTTGGTCCGATCCCCATTGTTTCACAGATGGGGAAACCGAGGCACAAGAGGTCAGTGGCAGACAAAGACACGGCCCCGGGCTTCTGCATTGGCGCGAGCACTGTCTACTGAATTGCTGGAAAGCATCCCTGAACACAACCATAATTTACTATCACAGGGCTGCTTGCCAGATTTTTCCTTGAGTTACAGACTTACATGCCTTTTTATAGCTGATTCTTTTTTTTTTTTTTACTTTTCATAGCTTTATAGATTTCACTTAGCTCCCTCTTCAGCCTGCCTGCCCTGATTTTTTTTTTTTTTTTTTTTCTAGCGTGGAAAAAAAAGACATTTCTGGAAGCGTAACCTTGGAAGCACTAGACCAAAACCCTACTAAATGGGGAAAGAGAATCAGTGCCAGCCGTCCTAGCTCCATCACTTCACTGAAGCAGCTCCTAGGTAGCTCCTGATAAAGATTTTACTTGTCACCCGAAAGTCATTTCTAATTCCTGAAACTGCGGAATAATGGCTGTCACCTTCGCAGGCCATAATCGCTTTTCCCATCGGCACAGGACATACTTGGCATCCGCCATCATTTATACTCATATGGCAAGCGGCGGTGCTTTGGCACAGAGTGCTCCGAGGTCTGACGCGGGTGTGCCCTGCAACGAAATGTGCACGGAGGTTCATCAAACTGTGTGCTTGCGACGTTATTAACGCAGACACACAGCCCTCAGGGGCAAAGGTTAGCTCGGCTCAGCCTCAAGTCGATGGTTCAAATCCACAGTCCCGCATTGAGAGGCTCGATGCCAAAAAGCAGACCCACAAACAGAAACGGCGGGGCTCGGCACCCGGGGAGGGCGCCTGCATTTTTTCATAAGTAAAATAGAGCACAGTCCCTCCCGAAGGTTCTGTCTAGCTTATTTTTAAAAGGCTCCTGAATAAATCATCCCCGCGCAGAAGGCCTGCCTCCGAACTCGGCAGGGGAGGCGTTTTGCACAATCAAAGCGCACATCCCTCCCCAATTTGGGGCGTTCACAGCGGACCACAGCGCGCACACACAAAATAAGAGCCGAAAAACGCCCGTCCCTGGGCCTGCCATGTCCATGACAAGAGCGGGACAGCTGCAGGCCGTTCAGGGCGCCAATGGGAAGGGCTGGCTTGGCTGTTGACAGAACAGAAAAGGAGGTTTGGGGGTGGGGGTGGAATTTAGCAGCAACGCAGGGGGGCGCCCCCGCAGCAGGGAAGAGGGGGTTCCCGGCAGAGGTGGGGGTGGCGTTTCAGGCACCGCAGCACAAGTCGGGGTCCAGGCAGCAGGGAAAGGTTTTTCGCGAGGGAGGGAGGGTTGCGGCTTGCAGGAACCGGGGAGTCGCGCAACGGGGGGGGGGGGGGGGCTCAGGGAGGAGGTGGAGCGGAAGGTCCAGGCAGCAGGGATGGGAGGTTTCACGGTGGGGGAAGGATCCAGGGAAGGAGACGTGGGTCCAGGCAGCAAGTATGGGGGAGAGGGTCCACGGAGAGGGGGTCCAAGGCGGGGGGGGTGCCCACAGCGGCAGGGACGGGAAAGAGGGTTCACGTAAAGGGAGGGCCCACGGCAGCAAGGGCGGGAAAGGCGATCCAGGCAAACTGGGGGGCCCACAGCGGCAGGGACGGAAAAGGGGGTCCGGGCAAAGTGGGGGTACGCATGGCGGCGGGGACCAGGCGCCCCCGAGGAGTCTCTAGGCCGGGGCCGCCCCTCCCCCCAGGCCCGGCCTCCTCGCCTCAGCCCCCGCCCGGCGGAAGAGAAGAACGCATCCCGCNTACAGTGGCATGATCTTGGCTCACAACCTCTGCCTCCCAGGTTCAAGTGATTCTCCCTGCCTCAGCCTCCTGAGTAGGTGGGATTACAGGCATGTGCCACCATGTCTGGCTAAGTTTTCTATTTTTAGTAGAGAAGGGGTTTCTCCATGTTGGTCAGGCTAGTCTTGAGTTCCTGACCTCAAATGATCCACCTGCCTCAGCCTCCCAAAGTACTGGAATTACAGGCATGAGCCGCTGTACCTGGCCAATAATTTTTTAATTCTTTTTTGTTTTGTTTTGTTTTTTTCAGACAGAGCCTCTCTCTGTCTCCAGGTAGGAGTGCAGTGGCACAATCTCAGCTCACTGCAACCTCAACCTCCTGGGCTCAAATAATTCTCCTACGTCAGCCTCCTCAGTAGCTGGGATTACAGGCATATGCCACCACACTCAGCTAATTTTTGTATTTTTAGTAGAGACAGGGTTTCACTATGTTAGTTAGGCTGGTTCCAAACTCCTGACCTTGTGATCTGCCCATCTCGGCCTTCCAAAGTGCTGGGATTACATGCGTGAGCCACCACGCCCGGCCAATTTTTTATTCTTAATATATTTTTCTTCTTTCTCTCCATTCCATTTTACAGCCCCCTTCTTTGATATGAACATGTTTCTCTTTTGTTTTTTAAATTAAAAACAATGATCAGGCACAGTGGCTCATGCCTCTAATCCAACACTCTGGTAGGCCAACCCTCCCAAATGATCACTTGAGCTCAGAAGTTCAAGACCAGCCTGGGCAACATGGTGAAACCCTCTCTTTACATTATAATTATAAATTATAATTTTTAAAATTTAAAAATTATAAAAATAAGGCCAGGCATGGTGGCTGATGCCTGTAATCCCAGCACTTTGGGAGGCCACAGTGGGCGGATCATGAGGTCGGGAGATCGAGACCATCCTGGTTAACATGGTGAAGTGAAACCCCGTCTCTGTTAAAAATACAAAAAATTAGCCAGGTGTGGTGGCATGCACCTGTAGTCCCTTAAACCTGAGAATCGCTTGACCTGGGAGGCAGAGGTTGCAGTGAGCCAAGATAGCGCCACTGCACTCCAGCCTGGGTGACAGAGACTCCATCTCGAAAAATGTGTGTGTGTGTTTGTGTGTGTGTGTGTGTGTGTGTGTGTGTGTGTGTAAAATAATAAATGTAAACAAAACAAAAATTTCTTATTTTCATTCTAAGATTGCACTAGTAATTGTGCTCATCATAAGGTCTGATGGAGGAGATAAAATAAGAAAATAAGTCAGGCAAGATATTTTACTTCATTGGGTATCAGGTGTTTTTTGTCTTGACATTTACTAGCAGCATAACTTCAATCTAAACAATTTTGTCCATAATGAGTTTGTTTATGGTGATAGATATTATTATTTTACAGAAAAGATGAACTGTGATTCAGAGATGCTAAAAGATCTAATGTTACCAATGCTGTGTCATTTTGGTATCATGGAAAACCATAGAATTGCTGGTGGTTTTCAGCTATTATTTCTCTTTATAGCACTTTTTATCTTTCATGTTTTTGCTCTTCCCTTGCTTTGTAGGTTTCATTCATCCTTCTTTCATCTTCCCTTTTTACTTCACCCTCTGCTTCCATACAGATACCCTAGATGTATCTCCCAAGGGAAAAAACTAGCTGGAACTCTTACCATAGATTGTCAGCATGACCTACTCCCTCACCTCCTTGAGAATTTTGATGTTTTGGATCACCTTTTCTCTTAGGCCTTCCCTGACTGTCTTATTTAGTTTTTGTTTTGTTTTTTTGTGATGGAGTCTCACTCTGTCACCCAGGCTGGAGTGCAGTGACATGATCTCGGCTCACTGCAACCTCTGACTCTCCAGTTCAAGCAATTCTCCTGCCTCAGCCTCCTGAGTATCTGGGACTACAGGCACATGCCACCATACCCAACTAATTTTTTATTTTTAGTAGAGACGGGATTTCACCATGTTGGCCAGGCTGGTCTCGAACTCCTGACCTCAGGTGATCCTCCCACCTGGGCCTTCCAAAGTACTGGGATTACAGGCGTGAGCCACCTCGCCCAGCCCCTTTTTAGTTTTTGCTTCCTCCTGCTAGAATATAAACTCCATGAGTTTCCAGATTGTTATCAGTGTGATTTAGTGTCGTATTCTCAGCTCCTACAATAATATTTGGCATGTAGCAAACACTGGCATGTAGTTAAACATACACTGAACAAATGTATGAAAGAATCACTATGTTCTCATCTTTGGATTCTTTATTATCTTGCACATACTAGTCATCAGGTTTATTCAGTTAAATTTAATTGCTATTAAATAAGAATTCTAATTCCTGAAAAAGGTTTTAATTTTGTCTTCCCAACTTGTGTGTGAGCAAAGTACATTTTTTTCTAAGCAGCTATCTCTGTTTTCTTTTCTGTCTTATTTTTAAGGAAATTGGAAGTAACTTTGAAATGTTATAAGTTGTTTTTCTAAAACTTAGCCTTTAAAATATTTAAAGCTATTCATTCTTTGTTTTCTTGCTTAAACTTATTCAGTCCTCATGCTAATTCCCACAAATACACTCTTTAGAACCATCTGTACAAAGGGAAAATTGTTTAGATTTTTTTTCAATTGAGAGTTGTTAAGTTGGCAGAATGGAAGCAATATTAAGAATAATTTGACTTACAGTCACTTTTGGAAACTGGCACTGTCTACTACAGTTAAACATACACATACTGTATGATCCAGCAATTTCATTTGTAAGTCTTTACTTACCAGAAAGATATACCAAAAGACGTGTACAAGAATGTTCATAGCATTATTTATAGTAACTCAAAATTTTCTTCCTGTAGGAGATAGCTTAAAAAAGAAAAAATACTCAAAACTGGAAGCAACTCTAATGTCCACCAACAATAGAATAAGTTAATTGTGATATAGCTATACAGTGGAATAATATGCAGCATCAGCAACAAATTGATTATTGCTACATGCAACAGCATGGATAAATGACCTGGACATCATATAAGGTTAAGCTAAAGAAGCCAGACACAAAAGAGGACATAGTGTGTTATCTCATTTATATAAAGTTCAGGTCAGGTACGGTGGCTCACGCCTGTAACCACAGCATTTTGAGAGGTCAAGGAAGGCAGATCACCTGAGGTCAGGAGTTCAAGACCAGCCTGACCAACATGGTGAAACCCTGTCTCTACTAAAAAAATACAAAAATTAGCTGGACATGGTGGCACAGGTCTGCAGTCCCAGCTACTTGGGAGGCTGAGGCAGGAGAATCACTTGACCCTGGGAAGAGGAGGTTGCAATGAGCCAAGATCATGCCATTGAACTCCAGCCTGGGCAACAAGAGCAAAACTCTGTCTCAAAAAAATAAAATATGATAAAATAAATTTTAAAAATAAAGTTCAAAAATAGGAAAAGCTAAGTCTGTGGTAATAGAAGCCAATGTTAGTGGTTATTTTGGGGGGAGTAATTACTAGGAGTGCCACCAGGAGCGTTTTTGGAGTTCTGGTAATGTTCTATATCTGTATCTCAGTGGTGGTTACATGGGTGTGTTGTAAATTTCCATTAAGATGTATATTTAGATTTGTATGCCTTACTGTGTATGTTATACCTTAGTTTAAAAAAATTCTTGTACTATTCTCTCCTGCACCCTGCCCACATAAATTCAGTAACAGAAATGCATCTATACGTCAAGAAATCCATTTAATCCTGATCTTGACCCTGAAATAGTTGATAGCTTCCTATTTTGGCACAACACTCTGAAATATGTGGTATTCACAGTGTATTACATATTTCCTGTGTGTATAAGTGAAAAAAAATTGTATTGATCAGTTCTCACGTAATTTTTGAAAGGTGTAATTTGGAGAAAGTATCATGAGACCTACTGCAGGCACAGTTGCCTCTAGATCAATGACTTTTTTACTTTTTTTTAAACTGTAGCCAGCAATACAAAATACACTGTACTTAGCAACCCAGAACCGATTTGTGTGTAACTAGAATAAATGTTTCATGAAACAGTATTTACTTCCATTGCTTTTGAGATCTCACCATTTTATTCTGTTCATTAAAAAGCAAGATGTAATTTGTTACCAACTAAATTTTTACACCACATTTTAATTTAATGAAACTGCCCTAGATAATATATATAAGCATAAAAGTATAAACGGGAACCCAAACTGAATTTTGTTTTCAGATTTCTAGTTACATCTAGTTTTTCAGTACGTAATAAATTTAGCTAGTTGCCAAAACAAATGTTTCTTACTGTTTCAAAGAACAGTCAAATCCTTCTTTGCTTCTGGTAGTTTTTAGGTATGCCTGCATTGATTTTGATAGATATGAGATCTTATGTTTATATTGCATGTTTTATATATAGTGTCTTAAAACTTATAAATTTCTGTTA